CCTCTGCAGAGAAACTAATGAAATCTTTTATTTGCCAGGATGGAGTCTAATGTATGAAATACAGAACAAAAGATATCTATTCTGCAGCACTTTGTTTCAGGGAACAAATTTAATTTCATATTTTCTTATTAACTCTCTTTAGAAATTTTAATATTCTCATGCAGATTTCTGCTTATTTACTTATGATTTCAAAATGCCACAGTCTGACTATATTCCCAAACCTTTAAAACAAAAGAAAAGAAACACATTTTAGACATCATGACAGAATTTGATTATTTCATAATTATTTTAAAAAGAAACTAATTTCCATTGTTGAAAAATTTGTTTTATTCAGTGTTTTAAAGCATTTAAAGGAAATTGCATTATAAAGTGAGCAGACTTCATAAAATACATTAGTAAGCATTGTTATATTTACAACACTGTAGATAATTATGAGCCGACTTATAAACTGATTGCTTTAATAAAAGTTGTTGAGCTTACTGCTTTGTACATCATTTGACGACTATGTTTAATAATACAGCTGTTTAGAAGAGTTACATGTTTCACTAAATAAATAAACAGAAGTTTGGGATTCTACAATTCAGTAAGATATTTACTCCCAAATGGATTTTTAGTGTGAACAAATTAAACAGTTTTATGACTATATTTGTCAATTTTGCTGACTTTGCTGTCAGTAATGTTCTACCATTGTTGTGTTCTGTGTCCTGAATGTTGATTTGTTTGCCACAATCTCTACACTGTAAAATAATCCTGCCTAAAATGTTTTAGGCTTAATCAAATTAACCTTATGAGTCGTTAGAACTTATATTATGTTAACCTAAACAGCTTGCTTATAAAATTCAGTTAGAACATGATTAACTTAGTTTATATGTTACAATGAACTAAAAAATGTATGTTGTCATGACTAATTGATCGTATAGTTTTTTACAAAACTTTTCTGAAGCATTTGTGAAGTGTTCTTCACACCGGTGAGTGGGCTTGACAGAAAACCTTTAAATGCTCCTCTCTCTGTATGCACTGGAGACTTTATTTAAACTCCATCTTACAAGGATTCAATAAAGAAAACAATGTTTGCCTGTGAATATACAAATCATGGTGCACTACTTTTTTTCTTCAACCTTAAAATATCTCTTTTGCACAATGTCTTAAACGATATTGTTTTATCTTATGTAAATATACTTGTGTAGTCTGTCTTATGTGTTTAACTATTTATTTGTGTAGCTATATAGTTAAATTACCATTCTGGCTAGTAATGTACAAAATATCTCTACATCCAGTGTTGTGTTCATATTTATGATTATGTTTATTTATGTAGCACCGTGGTCCTGTGAGACATGATATTTAATTTCACTGTATGTCCACACATATTATTTCCAGTAATGGTGTGATGTTTGTCACAATGGTATGATGATAATGATATTAAAGGCATTCATAATATAACATCCGCTTTAACAGCATCTGCTGGGTCAGTTGGCATTTCTGTGTGGCGTTAGTTAGGTTAGCTAGGCAGGTTAGGGTAATTAGGCAAGTTATTGTATAACGATGGCTTGTTCCGTAGACTATTAAAAAATATAGCTAAAGAGGCTAATAATTTTGTCCTTAAGATGATTTAAAAAAATTAAAAATGGCTTTTATTTTAGCTGAAATAAAAACAAATTAGACTTTGACTATAAATTATTATGGATCATCACACATACTGTGAAAATTTCCTTGCTCTGTTAAACATCATTTGGGAAATATTTAAAAAAAGAAAAAAGGAATTCAAAGGGCGGCTAATACATATACCAAGTATAAGTAGATGACAGAGTATAAATAAAATTTGTGGGTGAAATATCTATTTAACACTATTTATGCTTATTATCCTTATCCTTGATTTCACAGCAATTTTTTTTCATTATAAATCGTCACATCGTCGCGCTAAAACAATATCATATTTTTTTAATTTCGTCCTTTAGCTTTTGAAAAACAAACAATATATATATATATAGACGTGCAGCTATGATATTCATACAGATTTGGAACAAGCAGAGGCGGGTTCTTAAATGATGACAGAATTGACTCTTTCGAGTAAACGTTTGTTTAGTTTGTCTTATAGCCATGAGCCCTTGTTCATTTCTTGTCCTGATAAAACCTATTATTTTATTCGTATATACGACGGATTTAGTGAGCGATTCTATCACGTAATATATGCTCTTACACCTCCATCTAGTGGTAAAACACCAAACCAGCTTTCTGTTAATGTGTAGCCAAAGACTGTCCACTAGGTGACATAATATCATCAATAAATGGGGAAATTATTGGACACACACACACACACACACACACAAATCTTAAGAGAAGAATAATGCGTCTCTTTTCTGCCTGTTTTGTATGTACAGGGGCGATTTCTCATATATTGCCATCTGGGTCAGTGTGGTTAGGCACTTATCCAGAATGCCTTTAGAAATTCTTTCAACATTTCTGTTAGTCGACAAACACTGCATACACAATATGATCAAGCTCTCCTGCTGATGTTTTGTTATTGAACGCTGATTGCCTCGTATTTGAATGTTGTCTGCGTTTGAAAGCCCGATTTGTTTAAAGAATGCTAAACTGAAGGCCAGAGAGTCCGAGGATCTATCCTGTGAAACTGTGCCATGCAAGCAGAGCCAGAATGGGAGCTTGTAAAAGTGGCTCAATGGAGGAGGGGTGAGCCTAAAATTACAACTCACTAGTTTCCTTTTAGATGCTTATCAAAGCAGTCAGATGTGTATAATGTACATTACGCATGCACAAACACACATACACACACTACAGATGTACAAAAGGTCTTTTGGTATCACTGTATTTTCTCATGTGTTCTCCTCTGAACCGGAACGACACGCATGGCAGGCTTAAAATCTGATTATGTAATTATCAACGGCTTACATAATTATTTCAAATGTTTATTTTTTTTAAATCGTGTAAGTGATGTAAACTGAGTTGAGCAGGATTATGAATGCAAATAAACATGCATTTGTCACATATTGTGACATTGTGAAACAATATATTGTTTCAGACATGACAATATATTGAGTAAAAGATGGCAGATGTGGCACATGGTGGGATATTTTCCATAAACAAACAGTGGAGATATTTATGTGTGTCTATATATATATATATATATATATAGTGTGTGTGTGTGTGTGTATGTATTATGTATATTAATGTATATAAATGGGTGATATTTGCCTGCTCCCTTTATTCATCAGTTCGCCACAGCAGAATGAACCGTTAACTTATACAGTGTATGTTTTATACAGTGAATGCACTTACAGCTGCAACCCATCACTGGGAAACACCCATACACACTCATACCCACACACATACACTACGGCCAATTTAGTTTATTCAATTTATATAGTGCATGTATAGACTGTGGGGGAAACTGGAGCACTCGGAGGAAACCCATGCGAACACGAGGAGAACATGCAAACTCCACACAGAAATGCCAACTGACCCAGCCAGTATTTGAACCAGCGACAATCTTCCTGTGAGGCAACAAAGCTATCCACTGAGCCTCTGTGTCGCCCTTTAATCTATTTTTTTATCGCATTTCTTGTAACAGTTATATTCGAGAGTAAGTTTATAAACTCCTTTTGATCATTCAGAGTAATTTAAAGAGATTTCCATATTTTTTTAACACAATAGAGAGTAAGACACATGACAGATAGTAATTTCTAATGTAATATCTAGCACAAGTATAGAATGCCAGAAAAAATGGTGTTATGCTAAAAAAACCACAACAAATATTTTGACCTGCATTTTAGATAGATAGATAGATAGATAGATAGATAGATAGATAGATAGATAGATAGATAGATAGATAGATAGATAGATAGATAGATAGATAGATAGATAGATAGATAGATAGATAGATAGGCGGGCGGGCGGGCGGGCAGGCAGGCAGGCAGGCAGGCAGGTAGGTAGGTAGGTAGGTAGATAGATAGATAGCCAATACCATAAATATTAGGGATATTGGTTTCAATACCGCATATTTTGCTGGATCTTGTTTTGGCCAGATGGGACGAATCTAAATCCAATAATACGCATGTATTCTGTGGAATTTATAATTGCAACAAAAGTCATGAAGACATTATTAGGCACTACTTTTCATACAAAAAGTTTTCATGCACTATACTGTAATTTTTTTTTAAGTTTACAGTTTATTTCAGGCAGCTGGGGTGCTGAAATAAATTACAGAAATTTACTGTAAAATAACAGACGTTAAATTACAAAAGTTTACCAGAAATTAAAGTTTAAGGAAATTTCTGTAATTTATTGTTTATTATTTTACGGTAAATTTCTATAAATTAACGGTCGTTATTTTATGATTTTTTTTCTGGCACCCCAGCTGCATTAAACTGTAAAATTACGGATTTGTTTACAGTGTATATTTTAAATGTTCTGAAGCCAAACGATAGTTTATTGTAAAGTAAAGTTGAATATTCAAGAAATTAAATTCAAGTACATCAGTGCTTCCCTCCATTGTGCCTTTTAATCATTCAAAATTCAAACTTTGTGCCTATATAAAACATCTATATACATTATTTTTCTTTATAGAGAAAGTGTCTATTTATTGGACTGTGTACAGAAGATATTATTTGGGTTTCTATATATCTCAGATCATCAGAAGTATAGAAATTGTATTATATTAATAACTGCACTGGTATCGGATCGGTATCGGCTGATACTCAAGAATTTTTGGTATCGGATTGGTTTTAAAAAAGGGTATCAGTGCATCTATGTGAAAACAATGGTGCAACTACTACAGACAACACATTTTGAACTATATATTTTAGATTTCAGCTTAGAGACACACACACACACATTTTGCATTTGAGCAAAGGCCCACTACAGAAACACACAAGTGAATTCGTGATGTACAACACCACACATAGCTAAAGGTGGGGGAAAGTGTAACTTTTCAGCAAGAACAGGTTTATCTCCCAGCGCTGGAGTTTGGATCTCGACCGCTAGGGAGTGGAGGAGTAACATTGCTCTGCCTCTGCCTGTTTTTCAGCTCGGGAGGGGGAGTCAGACAGACGGGAATGAAAGCTTTTCCTCAGAGTTGAGGAGCAGGTTGGGTTTCGCTCGCGAATGAACGTTAACGACCGACCGGCGACGACCGAGCAGGAGTTTATCGAAAACCGCGTCCAGACTTCACAGCCAGCCGCGCGGATGCAGACGAGGACATGAGGCGGAATATGTGCAGACTTTGCTCGGAGCGAGACATGAGTCCAGGATACTGATTAGAGTTGACACAAGCCCAGCTCCAGTAGCAACTCTATCCACACTTCACCTCCAACCCCCTCCTTCACTCCTCAACCAGGAAATCATCGCGCATTGCCGCTTATCCGTCTTCCCACAGATTAAACAAAACACCAAACCCCTTGGTGGGTTTATCCATGAGGATATCGCCGATTTCTCCTGTGTTTTCGCCCCTGGAAGTTCGGCTTTAGCTCTGAGGAGGATCCGCGCTGTCGTCGAACAATGAGGTAAAGCACATTTGTTGCCCTCGCTTTTGTGTGTACTTTGTTTTGCGCGCTACAATGTAGCTCACAGTGTGGGAAACGAGTGAGTGAGTTCGGTCTGTTCGTCACTTTCTGTCCTGCTACTCGCACCTACTGGAGGCGGCTGACCATCACAGCAGCAAGTGTGTCCTTTCTTTCAGTGTTTACACAGCTCCAGCTCGTCCCTTTATGTCTGGTGTTGACAGTTTCTCTTTTCTTTTATTTCCTCCCCTGCTTTCTCCTGAATGGAGCTGCCTCCTGTGAATATGTATTGTTAATAATTTTGCACAGATTTGTTTTTTCCATGATGCAGGGTGTTTAGTTTGAATTAAATGAAGCATGCTAGCAAAACAGGTTATATGACACTGTCATTCTAAACATTGTTAAACGAATAATGGGGTTCACATTAATACATAAGGTTGTGTCATATTAGCCTAAAATATTGATTTAATGAACATATTGGGTAGCTATTTTCTAAACATGTTTTTATATACCTTTTAAGTTTTCATGTGCATGTTTTGGCACTGCTTGCATTGTCGTCAACTTTTGATTAGGTGCATTTTAGAGCAAATTATGCTGAGATTTTCACACATTTATTAAATATTTCGTTGTGCTCATGGTTAAATATATACACAATTATGTATTGCTTAATTTATGTGTAAATTTATTTAACAATTTGCAAAATTACTTGCACCTATAGCCTATAAGCTTATACTTACTGGTACGCAATGTAAACGGACAAAGTAGCAGTTTTGTGGTAATGCACGTTTTTTTTGGATGTCAAAAACTCAAGTAGGAACTTTTTTTGTCAATAGGTTATTTATTATTATTATTATTATTATTAATATTGTTATTATTATGATTTGTAAGTACTTTTTAAAATGAGGTGCACCTGTGCAGTGCTAGTGACCTTTAAAATAACACATAAGCACTTTATTTTACAGTATACACCGAGTTACACGAACGGGTATCGATAACTGTATCCTCAGGCGGTGTTGTTTATTGTGCGTGTTGAAAATGCAGCTGTCAAACGGTAAATTGGGTCTTTGTAACACGTAGCCAGTCCTCTTTTGTGAGCCCTCCCAGTTCTCTCTGTTCTGGGAGTTGGCCGTGGCGCGAATTCACAAATCCTACTGTGGGGAAGGTTTGGCATATGAATATTAATTAGGTCACGGGACGTTCATTCAGTGGCGAACGTCAAATATTTGATTTAATATTCATGTTTAAAGCCTTAGCCATAGTAGGATTGGTGATTTATCGGTAAGGGCAGTACCCGGAACTAACCTACATATGGAGCAACGAAGCCTGATAATTGCACATCCTGCTGCAGCCTGGGCAGTTGCAGAGTTCAAGGGCACTTTTATGTTAAAAAACTAACAAGACATTATAGCAATACAATTAGTGAACTGCTTCTAGGTTCAGTTCCTTATGTAATAATGTCTCTAAACTAATTTACAAACATAATATTTGAATGAAAAGTTGAACTGAACATTAGTAGGCCCATATCTTGAATTTTGGACTTCTTCTAATGTCTGCTTTTGACTGATCATAAAATCTGATAATGTTCCTCTTCAGCATGGTTTGAAATATGTTGCTCATAATTGTGCTTGAATGCATGTATTTGCATAAATGGCAATGGTCAAAATAACGAATGTTTTTATGTGTTGTGATTGATTAAAAATAACGTTAACTATTCCACTAAAGGTTGTATCTTAACTCTTAAGTTATAACATTGGTGTACATTCATTTTCTTTTCGGCTTAGTCCCTTTATTAAATCTGAGGTCACCACAGCGAAATGAACCGCCAACTAATCCAGCACGTTTTAAGCAGCAGATGCTTTTTCAGCTGCGACCCAACACTGGGAAACAGCCACACACTGTTGCATACACTTACGTACACTACGGCCAATTTAGCTTATCCAAATCACTTTTAGTGCATGTCTTTGCACTGTGAGGGAAACCGGAGCACCCAGAGGAAACCCACGTCAACACGGGGAGAAAATGCAAACTCCACACAGAAATTCCAACTGACCAAGCCGGACCAGCGACCTTCTTGCTGTGAGGCGATTGTGCTACCCACTGCGCCACCGTGCTGCCCATATCATTGTCATATCATTAAATATGAATGTAAACAAGTCTGAAAATATGGCATCTTTTTTATTTAGACCAAATTGTTATTATTAAACATTTTTTATTTTAAAGGTGCAGTAGGTGATCTGTCTAAATGCTAACCGGTTAGCTTATTATGCTTGAAATACAGTTCCTCCCCTGCCATCCAAAGCCACGCCTCTTGAAATCACGAACTGGCTCATCGACCCTTTTCACATTTTCGGGTTTCTCAGTAGCGGAAGGCGTCATGGTAAGGTAAACTCAGAACGCAGTGAATCAGAGAGTACAACAAAAAAATTTTACAACTCTATTTGCTGAAATAATAAAAAATGCCACAATTATGTTATCAAGACTTTCAGAAAAAGGAAAAAAAATTGTGTCAGACAGGTGACAGCAGCTAATGTAGGAGAGACAATAATGTCAATTTTACTCTCAGCCCCATAGACGCTGCATTAAGCCTGGTTTATACTTCTGCGTCAAGTGACCAGCGTAACTCACGGCGCAGGCAACGCGCGTGGCTGTGCATTTATACTTCTGCACGCTGTGTCTGTTGCTCTGCATTAACACTTCCGAAACGCTAGTTGGCAGTGAGGTGTAAATGTTCCTCTGTGTCGAGTTTCTTCGCTTCTGTTTGGCTTTTCCTGATCACTTCCCGGTTGTACAAGTGACTCAAACTCGCTCATTTTGAGGCAGGAACTGGCACACGTGCAACAACTTTAACTATGAGGTAAACACAAAACAAAACTTTTCATCTGGAGCTCCTTCACGGGACTCCACACTTGTAAACAATCGCTCGCGCCATTCGCGCGGCTCTCGGTTCTGCCCAGACTCGTCAGCACTACCAAGCCGACCAATCACAGAGCTTGCGCTACGCGTTGTTGAGACGTGAAGTTACATTTTTTGAGAGGTGCACGTCAGTGACGCTGACGGCCACGGAGAAGGGCTATGCGTCAGCGCCGTAGCATACGCCGGCGTTTGACGCAGAAGTATAAATCAGCCTTTAGAAACACCTTGCATAAGCGGTAATTAGTTTTTTTTTTTTTTATTTGATGCAGATATGATATAATACAAATATAAATGCATATAAATGTTACAAAAAATCTATATATTAAAAACTTTTAAGGATTTAAGATTATGATCACTGTTAAACGCGTTAAACGTCTTGTAAAAAGGGTCCATTAAAGATGACAGAGATACTATACTATATAATACTACAATTCTGAACAAAAAAAATTATTATATTTAGCACGTTTTCAATTGTGTAGCAAGCAAAATAATGTGCAATGTGTAATAATGTGCAATATTTCATGCATGCGAGGATCGCTGGTCTCACTCACTCATGGACTTTGTCCTAAAGTGACTACTGTATGCTTTGTGGTTGGCCAGCCGCGTGCAGGAACACTTATTACTAAACCATACTTACATTTCAGAGCAAATATTCAGATTAGCATGGCTAACAATATAGGGAGTGCGTCACAGGTTGTTATTGTTCAAAAATGAACCAATGTGAATATAAAAGCAACTTCACCTCAGTTAAGCAAGCTAGGCGGAATGGTGCTACTTACTGATGTTTTGTTGTTAAAATAAATAAAAATCTACATTATCGATGCTGTAAAAGGTCCCATATAAAACTGAAAATAGTCACATCAATCTTTCACCGGAAGATTTCAGTGGCTGAACAACACTTCTGTGCATATAACCCATTTATAGTACAACACAATGTACATCAGCTTTGCGTGACTAGTTAAAACATAACATTACCTGTCTAATAAAAATACTTCAGCCATGGTGTCGACCTTCCTCCAGCGTGCAAAAGTAACTCCAATACTGATTCAGGATATTAAAAAGTTTTGATTCAGCATTTGTTTTTACCGCTGTGTGGACATGAGCACGCGAATGGTGGATCTGTGTGAACGAGTGCACAGTTGTACAAATCAACATTTGCTGACAGACAGTTTGGGCTACTTATTAGAATAATGGGAATTATCAACCTGACAATTTTTAATTGGACCAACATTTTTTAGTTTTTGGCCTTACCCAGAATATAAAAATATATATAAATACATTTAGATTATTTACTGAAGTCATTACTATTGGAATGTGAAGAGACTTTCAATTAGCACAACTCAAACTGTTTCTGAAGAAAATCACCTACTGCACCTTTAAGTCATCAGTAGTTTGCAGAAAAAAACTAATTTTTTTTTCTTTTTTACCCAAGCACACAAGTGTAAATTGTAAATCCAAAGAAACTAAGAATTTCCAAAATGGTCTCTTAATTTTGTACATTTTTATTTGAATTAATAAAAATGTAGTGGTTTAAAGGAAAGTAGCAAACACTAAAAATCACATTAATTCATATTTTGTGGTCCTTAAATAGTCTTTTACTTTGTCAGCAAATGATTTTTTTCTAAATATAGCTGCTATTATTTTGGTATTTAATCTACTTTTACATTGGGATATTTAATATACGATGTCTTGTGTAAATCGTGGTAAGAATGAGAGTCATTATTCTTTTGCTCATAATATTAATACAAAGGTACTCATTCTAATGTAAGGGGGGATATTTATGCGGTGTTATACTTTTATTGTTTTAATATGTTGATGCACAATGCAAATATTTTATTTTCAGTGACAATTATATGAAGTAACAACAATGCACTTCTTGATATTCAACAAATAATTGCAAGAATGTCATTGGCACAAAGCCTTTCTAAGCTCTATAAAGTTGACACATTGTTTAAAAGAGGGAAATGCCAACACAGACGAGCTCTTCCAACAACTTGAGAATTTAAATCACTCATTTTGCTATGTAAACAACAACAGCAACCTGCGTGACAGGTTTTTTTTTTTTTGTCAGCGTATCTCTTAGGCCTGTC